CTCAGGGGGTAAAGCAGGGGCAGTGACAAGGGTAGGTTCAGGGCGAGTAAGGAGAGAGATAAAGGGTAATCTATGGTTGGACAGGGGGAGATGAAAGGCACAGTCTCTAGAGAACAGGGGAGGTAAAAGGGACAGAAGGGTACACTCTATGGGGTAAGGGAGGAAACGGGATATTAAAGGTATTCGGGGGGGAGGGGGAGGGCAGAAAGTGATGCACGACAGGACACGAGTGATAGCCATGAGAGGAAAATATTGAAGTGGAACCAGAAATTTATGGGATTGAGAGCAACATAAAGAACCAATGGCACTGGGTTGTTATCGAGGAGGAGGAGGAGGAGGAGGAGGAGGAGGAGAGGAGAGAGAGAGAGAGAGAGAGGAGAGAGGAGAGAGGAGAGAGGAGAGAGAGAGAGAGAGAGAGAGAGAGAGAGAGAGAGAGAGGATTAAGCTTCTAAAATGTGTGATCTTTTGATGTGATATATCGGCAGAACTCTGTACTAATATTGCTTGCGTGTGAAAACTGGATTGGATTCCGATTTGACATTGTTGCTGGTCTCAACTCATTTCGTTTGGGGTCACGTACCGTAAAAAAGAGATGGGTGGTTAATGGTTGAGTGCACATTATCGTGTTAGTGAAGTACATAAGAGTTTTAATGTACCTCTCAGTGTGGATATATATATATATAAGAGGTTATGTTTTATAGATTAATTACCAGTGTTATTTTTTTGATAAGAGGATTTAATGGGGTATAGAAATTAATCCCCTTAAATCGACGTCGAATACTACCGGAGACGAAATTGATATTGACAGTTAATGAGCCTTGTTATCTCTCTAAGTAGTTTTTGTAGATCAAAATTAAAAGATGATAGATGCAATTTTGTTTAATAATTACGCATATTTTTTCTACCTCCTCTGCGACAAATAACCATTACTTTATCTCTTTAAAGTCTTCATGATAAAAAAAAAATATCAAGACCAACTTAAGACGTTTTGAGGTTGTATCGTTCTTCCTTATGAATAACTTGGATGTCAGTTAACAGCATCAATGATTAACGTAACCATTACTAAATTCTTTATTCTGGTTACAGTCTGAAGATCGAAGCTCCAATACGAATTCTTCTCAAAGGTAGAGAACGAATTTTATTTCCTTTTTATTGTCAGATGATATGTTTAACTTTATCGTTATTTTACTCATTCATGGATTATTTTCCTTCCTTTACTCTTTATCGCTTCAGGTAATGTAAATAATAAATAGATGGCATAAATACTTATTCGGATCAATGGTACGACTCAGTGGCCAGGCCGAGAGGAGAGTAGCTCACTCGTGTAAGCAGTGGTCGTGTCTGTACTCACAAGAACGAGTTACGACTGGTGAGTGAGAGAGTTATGTCGGATAGAAATAGTTTGTATGGAAATGTTATCGTAATAGTAATGACTGGATGAAAGACTGAAACAGCACTTACTCACATGCCAGTTCATTATTATTCGGCTATTAGGAGAAATTCAGTCCTCCCAAAGACTTATTTTATTTTTAATCGGATCTAACTGCATATAATCGACGGAGATGATTTAGATTATGTTACGTCTCCTCCTTGTTCAAAGATTTATTCTAGCATAATTTAGCGATCGAGTAACACCTGAAAAGCATCCCCAGTGCACATCATCTTCCCCCACAGTGCACACTTTTTTCATCGCTCGCAGTGCACACAATTCCCCACACCTACGTCCTTCCACGCCCCGGATGTACATATAGTGTTCCTACCACCAAGTTTAAACAGAGATGAGTGTTATGGAATCATTGATTACCGTGGGCCCCGCTAACCAGGCCTCACACGGTCCCAACCTCTCCTCCGCCGTCACCTTCAACAATAGACCGTCCAAAACAAAGGCAGTCACCACCACTCTATAGCAACACCATAATGGACAAATTGGTTATAGTGAATGTGTCAGCGGCATCGACCAGTCAGACGGTATCTCTTTGTGTAAGACTATTAAAACCTAACCTCAATTAGGTCGGGTTTTGAGGGAAGGTTCAAAAGACAATCACAGTCGACTAACCTAACCTAACCTAACCTAACCTAACCTAACCTAACCAAACCATAAACAACTGAGTTAAATATACTACATAGCTTCGTCTACCTTACATTAAAAACATTATTATAGTTTTAAATACAGGTTAGGTTCAGAACACACTCTCTCATCACAAACCTTGTTACCCATCCTTTACACCTGATAATTAACCACCACATGTACAGTACGTGAACACTCCCTACACCTGTGAACACTCCCTACACCAGTGAACACTCCCTACACCTGTGAACACTCCCTACACCTGTGAACACCCCTTACACCTGTAAACACTCCCTACACCTGTGAACACTCCTTACACCTGTGAACACTCCCTACACCTGTGAACACTCCCTGCACCTGTGAACACCCCTTACACCTGTAAACACTCCCTACACCTGTGAACACTCCTTACACCTGTGAACACTCCCTACACCTGTGAACATTCCCTACACCTGTGAATACTCCCTACACCTGTGAACATTCCCTACACCTGTGAATACTCAAAATACCTACAAGTCATGTAGCTCCATTACGGGCTGGTGTATTACTCGAAGCCATTCACAAGATGATAAAGTACCACATTCATTACTCACAATGAAGGTAACGTGAAAAGGCTCTTATTTAGCTCAGTACGTTGCTTGGGCTTCCATTATGGGTCATTTCCTTTTCATTATTAGATCTATGATTAATTTTCCCGGTAAAAAGGTTGACCTGACACCAAAGTAAAGAAATGAAAAAATCGTCTTTTGTAAGTCGGCGACGTAGTTATAAATTAGTGTAAAAAAAAATCTCTTGTGTGAGGTTTTACTAGCGAGAAGATCAGATTGACAATACGTGGTTTGAGAGAGACAATCCACCTCTCTCCTTTCGTTATCGTGTAGAGTAATACAAACTATGAGCTGGAAACTAATTAAAAAACAAAACAAAAATTTTCTCTCCCTCGAAAAGTGTTGCCTTTCTCACGTCATGTCTGGAAAAAGTTGGTCTGGTAAGTCTTGCATATTTGCCTCTTCAGGAATAATATTATTGTCATGGGTATTTTGACGTTATTAATATTTTCCCCATTACATAGAGACAATAGAGCATTAATTACTGGTCTAACATATCATATGATGTTTGGTCCAGGAATCGCGTCTCTTCCATCTCTTGTTAAATATCAAAGAGAAGAATAGAAATTAAGAACACCTGGTGGGTATTGATCAGGAATCAGCAGCATTTAAGGTGAATTTAATCAGAAAGAGAAAAATGAACCAAGTCTCCTTTTGTTGGCTGGTGTTAAGCCGAGTGATTCAAGGAGGCGTTGGTATAGATGAGTGGAGTTCGAATGGTGGTGGTTTAGAGTGGTGGTTAAGTGGTGGGAGTGGTGGTGGTTGGAGGAGATGGTGGTTGGAGGAAGTGGTGTGGTAGTGGTGGTGGTTGGAAGAGTGATAGTGGTTGGAGTGTTGGGGGTGGAGTGGTGGTGGTTGGAGAAAGAGTTACTACGTCATGTATAGTTTGTATTATAGTTTATTTGATGATGGAGATAAATTGATGAAATAAATAAGACCATTTAATCACGTATTGGTTTAATCATTTATCATAAGACTCCGCGGAAGACATTGCTATTTTACTAGTAATCGATAGTTTTTTCCTATTGTATTTTATGTTTTATTATTAGACTCATTTTATAACCAAAACCAAACATAGAGAAACTTTGCGTGAGTGATCTATCGTGCCCAGGTTGTATTACAGGTGAAGTTTTTAATTGTGTTGTTATCGAATTACTTTTTGTTTGTAATTGCTGTTGACTGCAGGTGAGAATTTAATATTTTTTAAATTTTTTTTATTATGTTTTTAGCACCATTCTTTAGGATATTTTCTTCGTTGTCACTTTGTTATCGTGCCTTGTTGATGCTCTTTGGTAGTGTGTGTCCATGACTACTCCAGCAAGAAATGATGATGATGATGATGATGATGATGATGATGATGATGATGATGATGATGATGATGATGATGAGCACCCAGGGACGCCTTGGTGGAAGAACCTTGACAGATTTTTACAATACCGACCATTGAAATGTATCGTTGAACTGCATTAATTAACACCTCCACGTTACATGCTACACCTAACCTAACCTAACACAGGGTCCAGCAGTCAAGGCCAAGTGCTTGACAGACGAAAGGATCTGACGGACTACAGCCATTCAGGTTGTGGGATCCATCTCACTAAATCGTGAATCTCTTAAATTATCTCACATTCATAATCGAGTAACCTATAACTTAACCTATAGCTTAACCTATAACTTTACCTATAGCTTAACCTATGACTTAACCTATGACTCAACCTATAACTCCTGGTGGGATATACTGACATGATTTGGGACTTTGAATATATAATAGTTCTTTGATATTAACTAGAGTTTTCTTATAAATTTTATATCGAATAGTGATATATAATAGTCTACCAAGTTTAATTCCTGACATGAATATATTGTATACAAGTGCTTAATATAACCAAAAGTACCGATGATTATTTTTTTATAATAAACCGCCTTGTTAGTATGTCTGTCTGTCTGTCTGTCTGTCTGTCTGTCTTCAGTTTTCCTCGTGGTCAACCTTACCTGTCGTGTTGTCTTAGTTGACATTCTTCTTCAGGTGTTTTAAGGTGTTTCAACTAATGCTATTTTTTCCCAGGTGTCGTTCATCCAGTCTTGGTTTCTGCACTAGGTAGCAACTTTTACGAACCATGAACAATATTTTTTTTTTTCCATCTGATTTACTATTATTAGTTGTATACATTTATTACTGAAAATTTATATCGGTTTTCCAGTACTTTTTTTCCCTTTTCCCATTTGATATAATACTTTTATTGAATCTATATTATATATGGATAATATGTGTCATTAATTATAATTAGAACACAAGAATAAATAGGATAAATAAAAGATTCTCGTCTAGGTAATAATACCCTTTATTTATATCTAAAAACAACTATAACATTTGTGGTTTGTTTATCTTATTACCCCGAGGGAAAAAGGTCTCTTGATACGAGCCGTCACCCAGGGGGACACACAGAGGAAAACATGAGTGATGTACATTGAGAGGATGTGGGTCTTATAGTACAGCCCACAGCTAATATGTTGGCCAGTGTTGATATATTCTTCTGATACTATGAACACCTTTTGTGGCTCACTGTGGACATCTTCTCTAACACCATAGTGGAAAAAAAAATATGTTGACACTGTGAAAATTGTCTTTGTTGATATATTGTAAATATTTTCTCTAATGCTGTGAACACCTTTTGTGATATTTGACGTGCTGTGGATGTCTTGTTGGACACACCGTCTAAACGCATTTTTTTTTTTAGTTTTTGACACACTCCGAACACTTTCTCTGCCACTGAATACGGTTTTGACACTGTAAACGCCTTTTCCGACACTAAACACCTTCCGTAGCACAACGTAAACACCGTCTCCATATTATAATCTTACTTTCACAATTTAATATTAGTGAGAGTTCACAGATGGAATGTTAACCAATGTATTGTTAATATTTTGTATACGTGGAAACCTGAGTATTTAACACAATGGTTAATAATTTTATCTAAAGAATGTTAATATGTTCGCCAATAGTGTTAATTTTGTTCACCAACGGAAAATGAATCTGGTTACAGGTTGAATGTTATCTAGCAAACTATTGATATTTTCACTCGTAATGTTGAAGCGTTCCTTAACGTAATTTTGATAGGATCACCAACTGAACATCTATATGTTCAGTGTGCAAATGTTGTTCAGTCTATTAAAATTCAAGTGTTCGGTGTTCAAATGTGTATGATATTTTGTGTTCAATGATCAAATGTGTTTTCTTTATAAGTATTTAAGTGTTCAGTGTTCTTCAAAGTGTGTATGTTAAAGTGTCCATATGTTCTTCAGTTCACGATATGTACTGATGGAGGCATTAGTGAGCAGTCAGGTGTGTACGTATCAGGTATGACATCCCGTGGCCACTCATACATGGTTCCCATCACACATTCTTATCCTGACGGCACCACAATGATCTGGCCATACACCATATTCTGGCCATGGTGATATACCATGGCCACAGCAACATAACATGGTCATAGCAAGATACCATGGCCACGGCAATGTACCATAGCTATAGAATTGTACCGTGGCCATAACAACACACTGCACCACAGCAAGGTATCATGGCCACAGCAATACAACGACACACTGCGTGGAAATATAGTAGGGGTGACATAATACTTCATGGCCACAGGAACATATAATGTCCAATAACATGCCATGGCCACAGCAGCACATGGTATCTCAACGATATGGCCACAACAACACATGAAATCCCAGTAATATGGCCACAGGAACATATGGTGGCTCAGTAACATACCATGGCCACAACATGACACAGTATCTCAACAATATGGCCACAAAAAACATAGCGTCCCAGCAACTTGGCCACAATAACACACGGTGGCCCAGCAAAATATTAAGTGCTTTTGCATCACTTTGTCGGTTGTGTCAAAGAAGGAGGTGTTGGATAAGGCCTTGGGGCCGCGGGGAGGCAGGTGTGTGGTATACAGGTCACAAATCATGAAGGTTGACAACAGTTTGTGACGACGACACGTTGAGATATATAATGTATATATCAATGCGGAAGGAAAGACAAAGGTTTACTGCGAGACCTTCACTCACCATGTTATGTAGTGAATAAGAGATGGAGGGAGGGTGGCGCACGACCCCTCTGAGACCCCTACCAGGCGCTGCTCTACTGGTATTCAAACGGAAAAGGAAATTAAACAATTTATTTTATTAGAATAATGTAATAGTAAATCTACTTCTCTTATACCAAAGTTAAAAAGTTCAAAAGTAAACAAACACGGGCAATGATTCTTAATAAGGGAGACGACTTATGTAGTAAACACAGGTTACATCAGCGGAGTATTGTAAGACAACACCAGTAGTGACGTGCCGCCTCCCCTCTCAGTACTACACACACTCAGCAGTAACACTGTTTCTTGAAGAAGCGCAACATTGTATATACAACAGACGTTTGTCTCCACAGCTAACAATGTATTTACAAAATATTGTGGTGTCCACAGTTTCTATAAATATTTACAACGGGTTTCAATGCTCATGATTTACATATATATATATATATATATATATATATATATATATATATATATATATATATATATATATATATATATATATATATATATATATATATATATATATATAATAGGTAACAGGATCAGGGCCAGTAAGGTAGTGCAACAGGCAGCCGGATACAATGTTTACATAAATGTTTCTTGATGGTTCGTGTCTAAGAAGTTCTGAAATGTTAGGAATGTGAGGTGGTGTACATCTTCACTTCTCTACGGGGCGGTGGTGCAAAAGGTCGTTGGTCTACACGCTGGCTGGAACAAAGGCTTTTAGGTCTGCTGGTCTGTCTGGACAGTGAAGCCAGTTGGTTTGCTGGTCTGACTGGCACAGTAGGGATCGTTGGTCGGTAGCAGTTATCGTTGTGTGACTGACTCGTACGTGTTATATATCTGTTGACACTAAAGACGAATAACATTATATTATTTTTTTACAAGTTAATTACACAACAAGCTGGATACTAATTACCGGGAGCGACGTCATTAATATAGTTAGTAATAGTCAACGTGAAATAATATATTTATTTTAATCAGTATTATAGTTATGAAATATTTGTTTAAAATTAATTAAATGTCGTCGGCATTTTACGAGTTGATATTTTTTTATTTAGTCTATAAAGGTCGAGCAGTTACTGATATAAAGATAATCTCAAATGTGAAATTAATCTAATAAATAATGTATTACTGAGACGTGCCATGGCTGGGTGCCTGACACAACATACCAATACGTCAGGTTTGAGGCGTCTTGCAAGTTTTTTTTTTCTCTCTCAGCTTCGTGTACTGTTTTGAGCAACATTTATCTCTTCAATGACTGAGACAGAGAAGACGACTGCTTTGTTCCTGACAGGTGATTATCGCTAACAACCATCTCAGACAGCAGGCCATTTGTAACTCGCTGTCACCAACTAGACAGTCCAAGTGTCTTGACAACTTACTGTGCCGCTGACAGTCTAATTTCCTTGAAAGTCGTCCCAGACAGCCAGCCTTGTGGACCACACTAAACCCTCACAGCCAGATGACACTCTTCCCTAACCTCATCACCTCTCTTAGTGCTCGCTGTTGAACCATACATGATACTACAGCCTTAAGGATCATCACACTGAGGTACACATAGTTGTTATCTCAGGAAACACATCACATGGGACCCAAGTTTACGTGCTGTTCCCTTCAAGATCTTCTTATATATAAACAAGGACTGAAACTTAGAGCCAAAATTACCCAAATATGGAAAACTTGGCAATAGTTGGTGAGTGAAGCCTTAACTTAGACGATAATAGTAAAAGGAGGGAGAGGGAATGATTACCTTGATAGTAGCTGGATGCATAAGATATGATGACACAAACAAACAAACGGACAGAATAATATTCTAATATATTAAGTAGATAAATAGACAGGTGGACTAACAGACAGGTAAATGTTATATAGCGAATGAAATATTTTAGATGGACAGAAATTAACGGGTTGATAGAAAAAAATTAGGGACAGACAGGGATAAATACATCATTAAAGCAACATTGGGTGAATATAAATGGAGTAAATAAGAAATTGAGAGATAGAGAGACAGACAGAGACAGAGAGACAGAAAAAGACCTAACACAGCACAAGGTCACATTTCGTTCACCATTTTGTAATCACCATTAATTCTCAAGTCACTTCTGTATCTTCACGATCACTGAGCAGATCTGCCACTCATTTCATGGTGTGAGCTGATGGAACTACATACTTTAATATACCTCGATAACTAGAACAAACAGACTATCTCCAACTTCCCCTTGACCATATACAGTGAATTATGTTTCCACTGTAGCATTATTAGTACAGATTAAGTGTTCAAAGAAAAACAAAAATTAGTACCCATGACATATATAAGTGTAATGAGACTCCGAGTGAATGAGAGAAGTTATACACCATTATACTCGTAGGGTCATTAAGGGTGGTGGTGGTGAGTGAAGCTTTAAACCCAAGGCATCATTAGTTCCCTCACCTCACCTCCCCATTACGTGGCATCAACACTCGCCAATGATTTTTATTTTTATTTTTTTTTAGTTATCTTTCAAAATATAATAAAGATAAAGAACATAGGCATCATAAGCTTAGCAAATTGTTTAGATGCGAGTTTATTTGCATTGGATATCACACACCGACACTCACCACCAAAGTCCCCCTTATATATTTACCTTTTAAATATGATAGAAATTATTAAGCATGAGGCATAATAAATTTGGTCATTTTCCGGGAGTTTTTTTGCTGGCAATTCGTATCACTAAGAAACACTGGCCAACTTGTCCCTTGTCAACCAGCTGTGACACAATAACAAACATGACAGGGTTAATTTTGGTCATTGTCTTACGTGGTTATGCTGACAACATGTACAGGTTATCACATAGAACGAGAGGTGGCAGCTGCTGATCCTTCTAGTCACTTAATACCAGCAGACTTCTAGTGGTAGGGCGAAGAGAACTGTGCAGTATGGTGTTGTAGCGTCGTCAGGATATTGCTGTTCGCTACGGCAGGAAGAGAGGTACTCCAACAGTCAACACATTAATGGATAAGTTAACACAGTGGTCGAATAAAACAAGTATCTGATGCAGTAGTTGGCAAGGATGTATTCGACTCGGTAGCTATCGGTAATAGTGGTCGACGCACGGGTAAGAACAGGTCAAAGCTGAGGAGTAAATCAGGCGTTTCATTATTGACCTTCTGTAACCTGTAACACAAGTAGTAATATTTTTGTCTTGTTTCCTCCCTGTTACTGTAGTGGGTGTTGTCATGTAAGCTACTGATGTTATTTGATCGCTTTGTTATGCACGGCCAGTCATGTTTGGCGAGTCACTACTATTGCTTTCGACACACACACACACACACACACACACTCTAATCCACACACACTTTGGCCTCTATAAACCACTATTGTCTTTAACACTCCCACCATTGTCTGCTGCCGATTCTTCTCATACGTGGTTTATTTTCATCTTTTAAAACTCTTGGTTTGTTTAAGTAACAACCTTCACCACTGATGTAGGTACTAAATTCTTACCTTTTCTTTTGCTCTTACTGTTTGTTTTTCACTTGACTCACTCGTCGCCACAGTCGTCGTTCTTGTCACCATCACTGTCGCTGTAACTCTTCCTGTCGGTAAAGTGTTAACTGTATTGACTGTCGCTATTAACCTTGTCCACGCAGTAACTGACTCCCTCACGCCATCTACACCAGCCGAGTTCTGCCGACCACACTAGTTGACTGCCAATCAATGGACACTGAAAAACTGTTATTACGAATTCGTTTCCCAAATATTTGGTTTCCATATTTACAGTCACTAGAGTTTTCAGCTCCGTATATGTCTATATATATCTATATATATAGTAGTATTTGTACATGCAGCGAGTTTCCCGTTCTAAATATGCAGCTGTATTTACATTTAGTTTTCCGTTACGTACACATAATAATATTGACTATTTACACTGAATAATCCGTTCTGCTTCCGTGATAATTTATTTACACACGTATTATTTTTGTTTTCGTTCGGTATATGTGAAAATGTCTTAAACACTACTGTACAAACACACAGCTGCAGGTAAGAGAGATGATGTCCTCTTGGTTGCTACCAGTCCCATGTGTCTATCACGATGACGTTGGTGGGCAGGAAGTTGGAGTAACAGTTCCCACCAGCAGGAGCAGAAGCAGTAGCGGCAGCAGGTCTGGTCGCCTCCCACTCGTTCCTGACACCTGCATGGCTGCCGGAGCGTCACCTGGACATCAAATACAATTAACAATTATTTGATTGAAAGACAATTCCTGTTTTGATATTAACTACTTAGTCATAAGCTCTCTCTCTCTCTCATTTATTCAGTTATTATCTATAGGAGTCCTGTGTTACTGGTGTATTATAAGCAATAGAAACCAGTTAGTAATAAATCGAGAGAGAGAGAGAGAGAGAGAGAGAGAGAGAGAGGTGTTTGGGTCATGCAGGGGGGTGAAATCCATTACTTGGTTAAGAAACTCCGAGAGAGAGAGAGAATGAGCTTGGTGAGGTTGGTAGAGCCGTAACTCTCTAATGAATGCTTCCTGAGTGTGGAACTTGGATAATGGCTGGATTATGGAGTCATATATCTGGCTCTACTGCTCTAACTCTGCCATTATGACGCCTCTCCCACTAGTAATTGTGGCCGTAACGCCGCTAACATCACCCTAACTCACGCATAACTACCGCCAAATGGAGGAAATCTTGCTGAATGACCAACACTGATGAAACCGGAAGTAAATATCCGGTTTAAGTTCCGTCTCGGTTATGTGGTTCGGATAGAAGTGTTGTGTTGTGATATTTGATTTGTGTTCCGTAATTTTTGTTTTGTTGGGAAAAGTTGTAGATGACACATTGATGAAGGCCTTTGATACCAGGCAGTCGTAAAGATGTGCTTTTACCCTTGGGACAAAACTAATACTTTCTAAACTTTGAACAGATTACTAATAAAGTACAAAGTTTCATTAAGTTAGGTCGTGTTAGATGTATACCCTAAGTTAGGTTAGGTTAAGTAAGGTTAGGTTAGATTAAGTAAGGTTAGGGTGTTGTGGTCAGGTGAGGTTAGGTTAAGTTAGGAAGACAGCTCAGCATAGCCTCAGTCCCACGCCAAGTTTGAGGGTGCGCGCCCCCTCCTCCCCCCGTCCATCAATTACTCAGGTAGGTAGCGTGTCTCCCTGGTCACATGGTCAATATGTATATTATTAAAACATACAGTACACCACTATCACAATATACACCACTACCGCATACACTACTACCACATACGACCACATACACCACTCCCTCATACACCACTCCCACATACACCACTCCCTCATACACCACTCCCTCATACACCACTCCCTCATACACCACTCCCTCATACACCACTCCCACATACACCACCCTCATACACCACTCCCTCATACACCACTCCCTCATACACCACTTCCACACCACCCCTCATACACCACTCCCCACATACACCACTCCCCATACACCACTCCCTCATACACCACTCCCCATACACCACATACACCCTCATACACCACCCCACATACACCACCCCACACACACCACCTCATACACCACCCTCATACACCACCCTCATACACCACTCCCTCATACACCACTCCCTCATACACCACTCCCTCATACACCACTCCCTCATACACCACTACCTCATACACCACTCCCTCATATACCACTCCCTCATACACCACCACAACATACACCCTTACCACATACATCATCACAACATTCACTACCATAACATACACTACCACATACACAAATACGAAATACCATAATACTAAACTACACTAACTATACACACGATTAAAACACGTACATAACCATAACACACATGACCCAAAACACGTAAACAACACTAACATCTACCTGTACATAACACCTGTACATGATAACTCACTTTAGATGGGATGACGACAAACATCACTCACACTTGTACCATCACAGTGTGCCAACAGACAATGTGTGTCACCTGGTGTATACATGACAACACGCACATGTATCATTCAAACAGCCACAGCCAGAATAGGATTACCAGTGTGCACATGAGACCTAAACTAACCTCACCTAACCTAACCTAACCTAACCTAACCTAACCTAACCTAACCTAACCTATCATGTTTGCCACTGTCCCTCACACTATAACATATAAGCTTGTTGAATATTACACCATATTGTTCACTGTACCTCACAATACACACTACATCCTGCACTGTACACCACGTAACACTCGTCCTGCACTACAACACCTTCAAGAGACGGAGAAGCAAAGGTCAATACAGTAAACAAGACTTTGTTACGTGAATTAATATTGTAAATGCTTTCACCTCCTGGCGGTATCTTGTACGTGAAGCTCAACTAAGGTCTCAAGATTATGTATTTATCCTTTTGACTTTAGTACACACACACACACACACACATACACACACACACACACACACACATTTTGTATGATTAAATACTGGTATATAACGAAGAGTCCTGACGCGAAAATACATTGGGTTAGTGTAATGGTGACGAGAAGTGATGGTGAGGTGAAGTGATGGTGACGTGGATTAATGGTGATGTACTATGGTAATGGTGATGATGGCGTTATGTAATCCTTAATATGGTGATGGGGAATGGTGCTGGTGACATTATTGGGTGTTGGTGATAAGTGGTGTTGGCTATAGTAACGATGTGTGGTGTAAGTAATGGTGACGTGGTGTGGTACTGGTGATGACGACACGGGGTGGAGCTGGTGATAGGGACTCGGTGTGGGGAGGGTAATAGGGACACGTGGTAGGGGCTGATGGTAATAGGGACACAGGTTGGGGGCGTCAGATATTGTATGTCAGGGCTGAAAGGAGCATCACAGAAGCCAATATACTGTTATTAGTTTGAGAGACAATGGTGGTGATCGAAGATAAGGGGACACGCTGCCTTGTATGTCTCGGGATAAGGAGGGAGGGAGGGCTGTGTTCCAGGTATTGCTTCAAGCTGAGAGTGTGTTTCCCCCTGTGTGTCCAAGAGAAGAGGAATCCACAGTCTTCTTGTAACATGAGTTTATATGGTGTACTAGGCATGATATGGAGCGTGATGGAAACTAAGTAAGACATACGTAATGGAGGCTTAGACATACGTACCAGTTGAGTGACGTGATGGAAGCTAACTAAGACAGACGTACCAGTTAAGATGTAAAGCGTGGTGGAAGCTAACTAAGACAGACGTACCAGTTAAGATGTGTAGCGTGATGGAAGCTAACTAAGACATACGTACCAGTTAAGATGTGTAGCGTGATGGAAGCTAACTAAGACAGACGTACCAGTTAAGATGTAAAGCGTGGTGGAAGCTAACTAAGACAGACGTACCAGTTAAGATGTGTAGCGTGATGGAAGCTAACTAAGACATACGTACCAGTTAAGATGTGTAGCGTGATGGAAGCTAACTAAGACAGACGTACCAGTTAAGATGTAAAGCGTGGTGGAAGCTAACTAAGATATACGTACCAGTTAAGATGTAAAGCGTGGTGGAAGCTAACTAAGACATACGTACCAGCTATGATATGTAGCGTGATGGAGGCGGGCCGGGCGTTGGCAGGAAGGCAAGTGTAGTTCCCAGAGTCAGTGCGGCCCACAGCTGTCAGGGTCAAGATGCTGCCATCCCCTGTCTTTTTTACCGACACCTGTAAGACACACACACAGTCAGGTGAGAGCCTCTGATGCTGGTCTGAGGTAGCTGCTGTAGATGTGTTGCAGGTGTGAGAGTCTGTTGCAGGTGTGAGAGTCTGTTGCTGGTGTGAGTCTGTTGCTGGTGTGAGAGTCTGTTGCAGGTGTGAGAGTCTGTTGCAGGTGTGAGAGTCTGTTGCAGGTGTGAGATTCTGTTGCAGGTTTAAGGGAGTGTTGCATATCAAGACGTCTACAGGTGAGAAATTCCTGCCTTTTGTAGATGTAATCCTGTAGCTGATATAAAAAACTGTCACCCACCTATACTGGTTAGAGGATGTCCCTACCCGTCTCTCAGTCAAAGACCTTATCAGTCACCTGTAACTCAGTCAAAGACCTTATCACCTTATCAGTCATCTGTCTCTCAGTCAAAGACCTTATGAATCACCTGTCTCTCAGTCAAAGACCTTATCAGTCACCTGTATCTCAGTCAAAAACCTTATCACCTTATCAGTCACCTGTCTCTCAGTCAAAGACCTTATCAGTCACCTGTGTCTCAGTCAAAGACCTTATCAGTCACCTGTCTCTCAGTCAAAGACCTTATCAGTCACCTGTCTCTCAGTCAAAGACCTTATCAGTCACCTGTCTCTCAGTCAAAGACCTTATCAGTCACCTGTCTCTCAGTCAAAGACCTCATCAGTCATCGGTTAAAGAGTGTCACTTGCCTGTCTATTGATGTCGAAGTTGATCATGGTGCGGTTGTGGTACCAGAAGACGTAGTCAGGTGTCTGGGTGTGTTGACGGAGGCTACAGTTGAGCACCACGGCGCTTCCTTCCTGTACATGCATCTCCGGACCTCCAGCTATCTCCGCCGACGCTTCTGTGGGAGGCCAGGTGACACACACCTTATCAGAGCGTTCCTCTCTTCTCAATCCATTTTCTCATTTCTAAGACTTTACTGTTATTTCCTCCTCCTCCTCCTCCTCCTCCTCCTCCTCCTCCTCCTTCCTTCCTTCCTTCCTTCCTCTTTCTTTCTCTTTTCCTGGCGTCCCAATTAGATACTCACGTGTGATGGTCAGTGTCGAGATGAAGACCATGGGTGGATGTGTTGACAGCTGGCATACGTACTCGCCCGCGTCCCTCGCCTGGGCGTACCGCAGGTGTAGCGTCCACTCCTGTTCGGAAAAACATCATTACTCAACTGACGAGGACATTTTCCGTACGGGGAGGGATGGCGATGTAGGGGCAGGGTATCTTTGAGGTTTATTTCTTGTATAGGCAGGGATGTAGATTCAGTGGTCTACCCAAAAGTGCTAATTAAAACGCTGGGGTTCCTTGAATGACAATCGTGAGAGATCTTTATCACGTTAAGACATAAAGAGTCGCTCCCCTTGCATCTGTCATAGGCCATTATACCTCATTAGAGGAGAGGGCCACACAAAACAAGAGCCATACAAAACAGGGGCCACACATTACACTCTTAACAACAAAAAAGATTAGTCGAGGTTTCTTGCGGTCACTCCAAAGACTTCAAGACTTATGTAAGACTTAATGAGGTGGAGGAAAGAGGATAAAAGCATTAAAAAAATGAAAAAGGGAAGACCAATTTAAGATGAAAGGAAAGAGAAAGGAGCCCCAGGGTGTGTGAGAGGGATATGAGGGAGAAATAACGGTGATAAGGGCGTCGTCAGGAACCACACACACACTCCTCCTTCCCTTAGTAGGTTGATATATGAGGTATTAGCCACAATGGAATGAGAAGCAATATTCATATATACAATAGATAGTAGCCATAATATATAATAGGAAGTTATAGTTGTGATATAATAGCAACCATAATGTATATATAATAGGAGATAGAAGCCATATTATAGGAAGTAGTAGCCATATCATAAGTGGTAGTAGCCATAGTTTATAATAGGATGTAGTGTAGTAATCACAAGTACCAATCAGACATGTGGAAGGAAAACAGCATTAGAGTGAGGGTCGTGAAGGGCAGAGCGAGGGAACAGCGACCCCAGAATCTACCATGATACAAAGGAGGGGAAATGGAGCCTTGGGGACCATTTCGGGACTTTAGAGGGGAGTTGGCGGCCCCTGAGAGTGATACAGAGTAAGAGAGGGGATGGGAGAGGGGATGGGGATAAGGGAGCCGCAGGCCATCTTCGTCATACTAAAAGGGGGAAGTGAGATGCCTGAAATCACTCCAAAATACGAGGTGGTGGTGAGAGCCCCTCCAAAATATGAGAGAGGAGTTGGTAGGCCGGTGAACACTCCAAAATATGAGAGGGGAGATGATCACCTTGGGGACTAGTCAAACATAGGAGAAGATTGAAGGGGTGAGGGTGAGTGAGAGATTCACACAGGGACCACTCCAGCATGTGGGAGGTCAACTGGGGGTCAACACAGTGCTTTGAATATTTTAAAGGGAAGGTTGGGGGTTGTAAGTCAATCTCAGTATGTGAAACAGGGAGGGGGAAGCTCTAGGCAACACTACAATGTATGAGGGAGGATTAGTGGCCCTAGTGATCAATAGTTAAACAAAGGAGATGGTCCCCGATGACCACAAGCATATAACAGAGAGTTGGGGCCCTGGCGACGACTAATACAAAGGTAGAGGCCCCAAAGACCTCTAACACAGGTAAGGGATATGGTTGGGACCCTGAAGAACACTCCTACAGGTAGTAAGTGAATAGTGTATGATGTAGGGGAGGGGCGGGGGGGTGTTTCTCCGACACACCACTCCAACATATGGGACCCTGAGATTCACTGTACAATATATAAAACAGAGGGGTGGCGCTGCTGCTGGTGGTATACTGGCTATCCAATTTCCATGCGAGTGTGGGAGCGGAGCAGCGGGCGAGCTTCCCCACGGGCTGCCTAACTTATTACCTCTGGCCCTGACAAGAATCTTCCGCCAGAGGCAAGGATTTTTACCCTCCCTGCTGCTATCTCTCGATCCTAACAAGGGGCACAGGTGTTCTCCTACCTGGCAATGCACACTTATAAGCAAACTTAAAAACAGACGAGATGACAGGAATGTGTGTTGACGTTTCACACACATACACTTACGAAGGTAACTTGGAGACACAGAGGCGGGAATATCACTTTGGCACACGTCAAACTCACTCATCAACAAGTCATATGAGGCGTGAGGGTAAAAACTGTGCTGGTGACGTTTCGTGTTCACAAATTAGACCCGGCAGTTACGTAGGCCGGGATATTCCCCCCACACTCGTTTCACACACACACACTTATTAACAAGATTTACAAAGCGTGAATGCAATGTTCAGCTGGTTCTCACTTCAAGAGCTTATAAACGAGAATTAAATGGTGTGCTGGCAGTGATGTTACGTTGACGCCAGCGAGACTCACGTATGAGCAAGATTTAAAAGTCATGATGGCTGGATACATGTGATAATCGCTGCGCACACACACACACACACACACACACACACACACACACACACACACACACACACACACACACACACCCACACACACTCACCACACACACACACACACACACACACACACACACACACTCAGAACTATGACTTTATTCAGCCGTGTGATGGAGAACAGTCAAATTGATCACACTTTTATTTTTCACCAGTTTTTTTTACCGCTCGTAGATATCACTTTTTTGTGTGTTAATTTTCAGGATCCGTTTATTTGCGCTGACAAATTTTATTAGCAATAAATTCGTGTGTTAATTAGTGGTACCAGTAGCCCGGAAAAGCGGCTGGTGGTGGTGGTGGTGGTGATAATGGTGGTGGTGGTGATAATGGTAGTGGTGGTGGTGGGGGTGGTGGTGGGGATAGTAGTGGTTGTAATGGTGGTGGTGAAGATTGTAACAGTGGTGGTGGTGGTGATGATGGTAGTGGTGGTGGAGGCTGTGGTAGTGATGGAGGTTATGGTGATGGTGGTGGCAGTGGTGGTGGTAGTGATAGTGCTGGTGGTGATAGCAGTGGTGGTAGATAATTACTAGTCTAAACACAATGCATATTCAACAATACACCCCAAAAAACTTTCCTTCGTATTATAAGTCTCTGTAAATGACAAGATAATTTTCGTTCTGGAACACTGGGATGAGAATTATATCAAGCGGTTTGTTGTGTGTAAACATCAAGCTTCACTTTACATAGCTATTCGTTGTTAAGCTAAGGTCAACATTTAGTGTACCGGGTGTAAACAGTGGTGAATGACGTGTAGTATATTATACAACCTGAATAATAGTGTTAATTAATTTATACACAGGTATGTTTTCCTTCATTAGTAAATCATTAACTAATTTAATATCCACCTGAGTTAGTGATTTGATGATATACTCACCTGTTAATAAAGAGTGTTGATTAGTTCCCGCGGGCAGGTATAAGATTGAGGTATGTCTTTTACCGATAAACAGAAAAGAGAAAAAAAATGTGAGGAAGGCAGTCAGAAACACCCGGGATATCCTCCATCACCGCCTCTGTTAATTAGCCAAGTTGTGGGAGACCGAACCTCTTGTGATTGGTTTACGCTCCACGTTATGTATATGTGAACACTTGTATGTATACTGACTGCATACTGACTGTATTTATGTACGTACCTCAGAGCTGGAACCTACAGTAATATATCTAGAGTGCGTGTGGTGGGGGGGGGGGGACATATTCGACGAATTGTTTTGTCATCATGAGAGTCGACGTGTAAATAAGTGAGATATTTACGTTTATGTTGAGTGTATTGAACGTAAAAAATATATATATTTCTATTCGCTGTGTAAATAGAAAATACCCAAATATAGAGAAATATTCTAAAAATCCTGTTAGTCGACGGAGAGTTTTCATAAAGTAACAAAAACCTAACCTAACCTAACCTAACCTAACCTAACCTAACCTAACCTAACCTAGCCTAACCTAACCTAACCTAACCTAACCTAACCTAACCTAACCTAACTTAACCTAACCTAACTTAACCTAATATAAAAATTCGATGGTTTATTTCTCTCAAGAACACCTGAAGAATGGGGATGGGGTGGGGTGGGGTGGAGTGGGGTGGGGTGGGGGTTGACTGATGTGGAGTGGGGAGCAGTTCTGCGACTCGGCATTCTCCCACAAAATGTTGATTACCATCCACTCCCTCCTGGCTCAGTTTAATCCAACCTCCCCTTATATAAAATGTCCTCCCTCCATCTTGTAGGTAATTCTTAATCATTAGCCGTAGAAAAAAATGGTTAATGTTCTCGCTGTGTTTGTCTGGATAGGGTCGTAGGGGAAGGTCGTATGTTACGGTCGTTGGTCAAGGTCGTTTGGTCACGGTTATTGGTATAAGTTCATTGATCGAGGTCGTAGTTCAAAGAAATTAGTGTAGTCGTATTTAAGGTACAATGAAATCTCTATTTAACGGTGTGTATGGAAAAGAAAGTCCGTTATAACGAGGACATGTCATATATGAAACTCCATCTAACGAACTTTATAGAGATCAAAGTCCCTTATATCGAGGGTCCATTGGATATGTAACCCCCCATCTAACGGATAATATATAGATTAAAGTTCGTTATATGGAGGTTTCACTCGTAATAAAAGTCCATTTTCACTGGTGTTCATTTTTGACAGATATTTGACCTATATTTCTAGAAAAGTGGATTGATTCTCAGCTCAGAGATAATCCACCAATTATTTTTCTTTTCACGCTAACCTTTCCAGTTCGAATACATGTTTTATTCTCGTGATAAACTGACCTTTAGAGTTTCATTTTCATTTTAATCATATCATTTTTATCCTCATTGTTTTACGTTCATCATTATACATCCATCATCCACTATCCATTATCCTACATCCAATATCCATTATTCGTCACCCTCCATCCACTAGACTTCACCTAACATCCATCATACGACATCCAACATCCATATCTTCTGTCCAATATCTTCCATCCTACACCCAACATCCACCATCCTACACCAACATCCACCACCCAACATCCACCACCCAACATCCATCATCCTACACCAACATCCACCACCCAACATCCATCATCCTACACCCAACATCCACCACCCAACATCCACCACCCAACATCCATCATCTTACACCAACATCCACCACCCAACATCCACCACCCAACATCCATCATCCTACGCCCAACTAGACGTCAAATTCTTATATGAAGAGATTAAACACAGCTTATGGGA